AGACATGAGCCACCGTGCCTGGCCCTGTTTACATATTTAGTCAAACACCACCTGTTCTATAAAGGGTTAATGGCAATTTTAACGTCATGAAGAGGCTACCAGGAAACACCTAATTTAAAATTATTTTGGACTGAATACTGATGCACAACTAAGCCAATTGTTAACTTCAACATTAAAAAAATGCTAATAACTACAGCAAAGTTCAAAAGTAGAAAAGGGAAGGAAATCTACTGGCATCAGCTGCTGTATTTCAGGAACTGTACTGAGAACTCTATAAATCCATTTCATGTAACTCTCAGAATAGCCTTATACAACAGATTTTATCCCAGTTTATAGATAAGGAATTGAAGGTTTTAAAAGGCTTTGGGGGTTGGCTCTTTCACCATTATTTGCTGGAGTTTGGGTTTTCAGGCTCTTTCTGGGTCATAGATTTCCTTGTAGCAATTTGAGAGCTGGAATCACTTTCCACTGGGTCCCAAAGATCCAGGAAGAGCTTTGTGCTGTTGACTAGACGTCGGATGGACCCAGCCACAAAAGTTTAACCCAACTTTGACCTCAGAGTCTTCATAAATGTTCACTGAAGAAAATTTCCAGGACGATTCAGGGGCCTCTCTTCTGCTCAGATGTCAAAAAAGAACCTTAGTAACATGACTTTCAACCCTAGTACCAAATTCTCCCCTTCCCTTCTACCAGAAGATTCCAACAACTGGATAGAAGAGAATCTTCCAGGACATCAGAAATGGCTTGCCTTAGGAGTAGGAGAAGGAAGAACACTGCTATCTATGTAGAAAGAAAATAGGGTAAAATTGAGATACTAGGTACTCAACGAATTTCCTTGGCTTGAAAAAGAACTAGTAGACACTGGCCTAAAGGGAGTTCAAAATGCATCAAGAAGGGAACCATTCCAAAGTGGCTGCAGTTTCTGTGTGTATCATAGCCTGAGAATGCTAGAACAGGGAATCATGACACCACGCCAATTCAACCATAAACTACTACTCTTGCACTTTTCTTGCTAGTAATTTTATGCACCAGGTTGAGAAAGCTACTCTATGCTACGACAGCCTGTATACCAATAACCTTGACAAAGAGTTCTGTGATGTCTTTTTTTGTTATCTATTCATTTCTACCACGATACCAGTAATTTATAAGAGATCTATGTAGCTTGAATGTGTTTGAATAATTTCAACACACTTTAGCTCTCCTCTCTGATGTGACCCCAAGAGCCAGTAAGTCCGAAGATTCCCATGTGTGTTAGAAGGCTGAAGTCAGTGAGGTGAAGCCCAACATCAAGAATGTAAAGCAACTTGTGGGACAGGAATGTAAAGAAAACATTGGGTAGTTTGGCTACAGCATAATTAAATTTTCTGGTTTTCAAATGTTTGAACTCCAATAAAAGGACCTTCAATGTGCTATTTTCGCAATTTTCAGTAACAAATGTGTGTATAGAGAAAAACCAAGACATATTCGAGTAGCATTAAAAAAATATTTTTCTTTTTTTTTTTTTTTGAGACGGAGTTTCACTCTTGTTACCCAGGCTGGAGTGCAATGGCGCGATCTCGGCTCACCACAACCTCCGCCTCCTGGGTTCAGGCAATTCTCCTGCCTCAACCTCCTGAGTAGCTGGGATTATAGGCACGCGCCACCATGCCCAGCTAATGCTTTGTATTTTTAGTAGAGACGGGGTCTCACCATGTTGACCAGGATGGTCTCCATCTCTTGACCTCATGATCCACCCGCCTCGGCCTCCCTAAGTGCTGGGATTACAGACAAGCTTTAGCCGCCACGCCCGGCAGTTTTTTTCTTTAACAAAAAGGCTGCATGATGAATCAGTCATGTGGCTTTGGACCAGTAAAAAGTGGAGCTCAATTTCAACCCAGATTCTTCTGACTTGGAAGGCCATTCTTCCAAGCACCTTTTTTCTAGTATGTTAGACATACATTCTGACTCCAGGTCTAACTCCAGAGACTACACTGTTTTCACAATACCGTATCTTCTAAACTGAACAAAATACTTTCACAAAATAGTTGATTCTCTTCTTCCAATTTCTTTTCATTCAGGAAAAGGGAAAGAAAACAAGCATCCAATAAACAAACAAATACAGTACTAACATTTAAATACTTTCTCAGCAAATATTATTTTAAAGGAGAAACCAAAAGAATGTATATCTAACATACTAGAAAAAAGTTGCTAGCAATTAAGGAGTGCAACCATTAATGCAGTAACTATGTGCAATCAGGTAAGTCACTGGGAAGTGAAAACCACCTAAATTTCTTCCAGCTAAAACCAAATTAGTAACCCTCATCTTCTCAATATGATAGCCAAATTTGAGACACTACCAACAAAATGCAGAGGGGCACACACAAGCCACAGCAATATCATGACGCCTCAGTTCACAAGTAAAGGAGACACACCATTATGAGATACACTGTAAGGACACCAATCATCAACATATGGTATTGCAATGGCTGTTCCAGGGAACATTCATTTACACTGTTTCCTGGATTTCAGGCATAAAAAGATAACAGAAGACATATACTGGCCCTATTGCCTTGACAATTCATAACCATTTTAACAGCAACCATTTCGCTACTCCGAAGATTATAAAGAAATTGTGTTTTTCATAAGACTCTACGACCTACTACCTATAACTCTCACATACACATATTGTACAACCTTAATATGTAATTATCAAATCTGGTAATGAACGTTCTGTAAATTACCAGGTACTACAATATTTTGGTATTTGCCTTTTAACCAAACTGAGGGGGAGAAGGGGAGGGTGGAATAAGCCTCATTTCACCTGCCCTTTCCAAAATTTCACTTCAAGAATGTTCAAAAACTCAGTATGTCCAGGTATAAATCTCCAAGTTTGTCTAATTTTCACTGCTTAACAAAAGCGATGTAGAAAACAATTACTGTACTCTTCATCAATCCTTTCAGATTGCACAGAATTCCTTCCAGAAAATTCCAATTAAAAAAAAGTTAGACAAGTATTCCCATTTTGGTATGTATGTCGTCTTTGGCACAAGTCATTTCAGAGCGAAAGCCTTTAAAACATTTAAATGTTCCTGGTATTGCTTTCTGACGAACGTGATAAAATAGCCAAATAATCCATATTTACCAAGATTGAAAACACTTGCACCAGGTACGGAAAATCTTTCCAAAACACAAAATCTAATTCAAAAATTATAAATAAAAAGAGAATAAATGTAAAAACAATTGCATAAACAAACTTTCAAATGCGTATGGGTTGACATTACTGAAGCCATTACTCAAAACGAACCTCTGTAAAACCGAGAAGGCACAATCAATGCAATAAGATGCTGGAGAAAGCCAAACCCGAGGCGCTGCGCAGTTCTCGCATCGCACATTTCAACACATTCATTCCTTGACGAATACATCCAAGGTCACTCACGATGGAGAGGAAAACTGCGTGTCTCCCTCCAGAGCACGCAACCCCTTCGCCGCGCCCCCACGGAGGGCGGTGAGGAGACGGGCGCTTCAGGAAGGGGGCTGCGCCGGCGCGAGGACTGGCCGGTGGGCGTTCCGGCAGCCTACAACTTGCAAGGACCACGGCCATCCCCCGGGCCTGGGAGTGGTGGCCCGAGGGCAGGCCCGCGTACCCCGGGTGACCCGACCCGCCGCGCCGGGGTCCCGCCCCTCCCCCCGCCCCGCCCCCGTCGCCGGCCCAGGATTATGCAACGCTCCCCCACCCCTCCCGCATTCTGGCGCAGCGCCCCCTCCCCGCGCCCGACTGCGCAGCGCCGCCGCCCCCCGCCCGTGGGCCTCCCAGCTCTGCTCCAAACAAAGCGCGCGCTAAGGGGCCGGCGGCGGCCGGGGAACTGGGGACAGGAGGGTGGCGGCCATGTTGGCGGGGGGCGGCGGAGATGGGGGAACGGAGGAGTGGGGGCCGGCGAACAAAGGAGCGCGCGCCCGCCCCGAGGCCCAGACCCGCCCCGCCCGGGTCCCCGCCGCGGCCCGGCCGGCAGGGGGCGCTGTGCGGGCGCCGCCCGCTGGACAATGCTCCGCCGGGCCCCGCGCGGGCCGCGCTCACCTGCACCCCCGGCCAGGCCGCCGCACCCCTGGCCTGCCCGCAACCCGCACCCCCTCACCGCCCTGTACGACCCACGCCTGCATCGCGGGCCTCACCTGCTGGCCGCTGGGGCAGCCGTCCACAGGCCCGCGGTTGCCGCCGTCGCTCGTTCGCGCTCCCGCCGGCCCCAGCCCGAGCCAGACGGCGCCTCCCCACCCCCGCTCCCTCGCCGCGGACGCCGCCCGCCCCCCAGCAGCCAGGGCGCACGCGCACTGCGCCCGCCGAACTGCGACGGCCGCGCCGCCCCGGCGCCTGGCGCCGACGGCCTATTGCGCAGGCGCCGTAGAGCGGGGCGGGGGGAGCGGGGGCGGGCCCTGGCGCCGCTCACCTGGCGGGCGGCAGGGCGGGGCCCGAGCTCGGGACTTCCAGGTGCGCGCCGGGAATGGGCGGGGGCAAGCGCCCGAGCCCAGGGGCCTGGGGGTGGCGCAGCTTCTCCGAGGAGGCAGGCAGCCAGAGAAGGGCTTCGTTTTCGCGCAGTAGGACTTTCAAGAAAGGACAAGCCCCCTTTGTCCTGGGACGTAAGCCGCAAGTCGTCCTGAGGGGTGCAGCGCGAATGCTGAGGAAGCTGGATCACAGGGCTGGGCTGCGAGCCTTGTGAGCCCTGAACCTCGGGAACGCCGCAGCTCTCCTCCAGCGCACCGGTTCAGGGCCGCGGGACGCGAGCCTTGAAAAGGATGGATTTGCTTCCTGTGGCTCCCTGGAAGAGACGTCTTCACCACCGCACTGCGTAGAGGCCGGCGGCGTCGCCCGCTCACCCCGCTTGCTGCCTCCCCGCACAAAGCCCTGCACAGGTAGCTCAGGTTAGCTGGAGCCCCGGAGCCCCACCTGCAAACACCCGGCCTGGCCTAGGCTGTGTGGGGACGGGATGTGGCTCTGGAAGCCCAGAAACCTGCTTCCAGTCCCCCACCACAAATGGAACTCACCCAGCTCCACTCGCGAGGTTAAGAGCCAAAAATTCCCATGATCGCAGGCGAATTCATTTGACTTCCGTTTCAGTTAATTTTGTTGCTTGTTTACAGGAGAAGGGAGAGAGGTAGCATGAAGAACAGTTTTTATTCCTGCAGGATCGAGTGCAGGACTTGGAGGCTGAGTCCAGCCGGCCGCTGTCCACTCCCCGCCAGCCCCGTGTCCTGGAGCAGGTCACTGACCCGGTTCCTCGAGTGCGGCAGGGCAGCCGCTTCCTACTAAATCGCCTCCCAAAGCGTTGTCAGATCCCATTTCAGAACATGTTATTGGAAAACGCCTTGAACACTCCAAACTGCAGCACAGTTATTAGGTAGCAACACTCTGGGCTCTTACTGGTACCTTTTCTTCCAAATAAGATTGATGTGTGCCTGCTCAAACAGATCGAAGTGCTTGTCTCAGATGACACACTTGGCAGGCATGGGACGTTCACAGGCCAACTAGAGGGCGAATTTCAATACCGGGATATAAAAGTGTATCGCTGTACTGACAGGTTCACAAGTGTTGAGAGATTATTCACTTTGATTTGTGTATTTAATGTCTTTTTTTGTGTGTGAGACAGTCTCACTGTGTTGCCCAGGCTGGAGTGCCGTGGCGCGATCTCGGCTCACTGCAACCTCGCCTCCCGGGTTCAAGCGATTCTTCTGCCTTAGACTCCCGAGTAGCTGGGATTACAGGCATGCGCCACCACGCCAGGCTAATTTTGTATTTTTAGTAGAGTTGGGGTTTCTCCATGTTGGTCAGGCTGGTCTCAAACTCCCGACCTCAGGTTATCCACCCCCCTTGGCCTCCCAAAGTGCTGGGATTACAGGCATGAGCTACCATGCCCGGCTCAGCTAATTTTTTTTTAATATGCTTAGTAGAGATGAGGTTTTGCCATGTTGGCCAGGCTGGTCTCAAACTCCTGCTTTCAAGCAGTCCGTCGGCCTCAGCCTCCCAAAGTGCTAGGATTACAGGTGTGAGCCACTGTGTCCAGCCTGTTTAATGTCTTATAGTGGGGTAATCTCAGAAACGAGGAGGGATGGGAAGAAGGTAGGTGCCGAGAAGTCTACTGGTTGGAACATTTCATCTCACTGGTAAGAGCCCTGGGTTTCTCCACCTAAGCACTGTTGACTTTGGGGATGGAATAATCCTTTTGTGTGGGGTCTGTTCCATGCTTTGTAGGATGTTTGACAGCATCCCTGGCCTCCACCCACTAGATGTCAGTAGCACACCCACTCCTCCAAAATTTAAAGAAAACGTCTTCAAAGTGAAATATGTTGCCCCACCTCCCTCTCCATCCCCAGCCCCTGATTTAAATTTTGCCTCTAGTAATGGTCACACTGGGAGCTATGGAGAATACACAGGACTGGAGCTCACCCCTGTAATCCCAACAGTTTGGGAGGCCAAGGCAGGAGGATGGCTTGAGCCCAGGAGTTCCAAAAGGGCAACATAGCAATACCTCAACTCTAAAATAAATAAATAAAATTTTAAAAATTAAAGGCTGAGCACAATGGCTCACACCTGTAATCCCAGCACTTTGGTAGGCCGAGGTGAGTGGATCACTTGAGGTCAGGAGTTCAAAACCAGCCTGGCCAACATGGCAAAACCCCAGCTCTACTAAAAATACAAAAATTAGCCAGGCGTGGTGGTATGTGCCTGTAGTCCCAGCTACTCGGGAGTCTGATGTGTGAGAATCATTTGAACCCAGGAGGCGGAGGTTGCAGTAAGCCAAGATTGTGCCACTGCACTCCAGGCTGGGTGACAGAGTGAAACTCCATCTTAAAAAAAAAAAAAAAAAAAAAAAAACCCTCTTTCTTTATAAATTACCCAGTTTCAAGCAACAGAAAATAGAATGAGACACCTATCGTGAATTCTGATAAGATGGTGGCCTCATTGAGACAGAGGCATCTCTTCTGTGTTGGATGTGATGAGGCACTGGGCCAGATCTCTGACTGAGAGCCACAATTGATGCACGCTCCATGTGAGGAAGTGTGGAGTCCCGACTGTGGGTCAGAACCGAAGTGACCAGCATCTGCCTGGATGGTCAGCATTAAGACCAGAGGAGGGGAACAAATAAAGAAGGCACAGAGACAGGGTCAGAAACAAACTGAGCACACACAGCCCTGCTGGGAGCCTCTCCAGGTGTTGCCTGCTCGCCTGGGTTCCAGTAGGCTGGCAAGGGTGGGAGCGTGTTCCATGCCTTCTCTAGCCCCCTGTCACATTATCATAGTCTTGTAGACTCCCAGAGCATACACCCTTTACTCTATTCTCTGGTGTATCTCCACTGCCTAGACAAAAGTCTGTGAGAGTAGAGGTCAATAAAGACACTACAAGGCTGGGCGCTGTGGCTCACACCAGTAATCTTGGCACTTTGGGGGGCCTTGGCAGGAGGATTGCATGAACCCAGGAGTTCCAGACAAGCTTGGGCAAGTTCCAGACTGGCTCAGGGCTTACTGATGGCTTAGAGCCTACAGATGGCGTCCCTATGTTTGCTCCACAACTGCAATACTGAAGTTATTCTTCCATGGGAAGTAATTGGTTTTAAAAAGAAAAAAAAAAAAAAACCCAGATGTTCTCTGGAGGAGCCACACCCAGGCCCAGGCCCAGCCCCCTTCCTCTGACCCTTCATCCCACCATCCCATCACCTTGCTAGAGTGTGAGTCTTGGATGGTGGGGCCTGTTTAGTTTGCTTCTCAGGAAGCCTCAGACCACTGGACTCCACACTAAAGCTTCTTCCTGATAAAGAAAAATATCAGACAAATTTAACAGAGCTTATTTGAGCAAAGAACATTCACCAATCATGCAACCCTGAGAACAAGAAGAGGTTTCGAGAGCTCACCTCTGCAATGTGGGCAGTGAGGGGTTTGGATGGATATGTTGAGAGCAAATCTTTAAGAGATTTATTCTGACCCAAATATGAATGATCGAGACCTGTGACACAGCCTTCGGGTGGTCCTGAGAACGTGTGCCCAAGGTGGACAGGGCAGAGCTTGGTTTTATATATTTTAGGGAGGCATGAAACATCAATCAAATACATTTAAGAAATACATGGGGCCGGGCGTGTTGGCTCACACCTGTAATCCAAGCACTTTGGAGGCCAAGGCGGGTGGATCACCTGAGGCGGGAGTTCAAGACCAGCCTGACCAACATGATAAAACCCCGTCTTTAAAAAAAAAAAAAAAGACTTTCACCTGATTGGGTGAAGCCCACTATTAATAAGTAAAAAAAATAATAATAAAAAGAAAGACATTGGTTTGGTTCTGAAAGATAGGACAACTCAAAAGAGGGGGCTTCCAGGCTATAGGTAAATTTAAACATTTTCTGGTTGACAATCGGTTGAGTTTATGTGAAGACCTGGGATCGATAGAAAGGAAATGTTCAGGGTAAGATAAAGGATTGTGGGGACCAAGTTTTATTGTGCAGAGGAAGCTCTCAGATAGCAGACTTCAGAGTGAACAAGTTGTAAAATGTCTCTTATTGGACCTAAAAGTATGCCTGGCCCTTGGTTGATTATCTCTTGGATCTGGAAAGGAAGGAAAGTTCGCTAATAAGAAAAAAAAGAAAAAGGTTGAGGGGGAAAGGGGATTCTCTGCAGAATGTGGATTTTTCCCATAAGCGATGGCTTTGCAGGGCCATTTCAAGATACGGCAGAGAAACATGATTTGGGGTAAATATTTTTATTTTCTTCCTTGTTACGCCAGAGTCAGATTGGAAAGTAAGTCATGATATACAGTGTTAAATAAAACCCATCTGATGAGAATTTATGGTTTGTAGGATATGACTCCCCAGACCCCTTAGACAGGAATTTGGGCAAGATAAATATATATGTGTGTGTGTATGTGTGTGTGTGTGTGTGTGTATATATATATCTATATATATATATATATATATATATATTTATGTATGTATACATCATAACTTAGTTGTTAGCTAAAAGGCTGAAGGAAGCAGAAACAAAGAACAAAAAGCAAATTGGTGGTTTGAAAGTTGCTTTCCTTGTAAATGTTAAAGCAGAGGAGACTCCCGTGTCATGCCAGCTAAAGCTGGCCTGTTTGGAAATTTGACTTTTATCTCTCTCCTGATTTCTCAGGTCAGCTAACTTAGTTTCAGTTTGGTGACAACAATCTTTAGCAGGAGGGACTTGGTTTGGTCTGTTGAAGCTGGTGCAGGAGCTCAGTGGAAATCAATGGCCTCCTATAAATGTTATTTACATTCCTATTAAAGGGAGAGGGAGCCAGTGGTGAAGTTCAGCAAGAGAAACTTACTCTATAAAGAAAATCTGCATCTGTAATGGTGTCTTCCTCTCTGTACCAGGAAGAAAAGGATGACTAAATCACTGGAAACTGTTAATGTGAAAAGCACAAGCTCAATCTGCATCACAGACCTGGCTTTTGTTTGCCCTGCATCTCTTGGCCAGGCAGTCCTAGGGGAGAATGAGGGTGTTTTGGCCTATGCCCTTCATTCTTTGTGTCCGGGAATGATGGTAAGTCTGAAGCAAATTCTTTGATATCTACTCTTGAGATTGTCTCATTTCTCTGAGTTATCTCCCACATAGTTATAAGGTAGTCATGTTAATAAACTTGTTTGCTTTTCTCTTGTTAATCTGTCTTTTGTTCTAGCAGTCCATCTCAAAGAACTCAGAGAGGGTTGAGGAAAAATATGTTTTTTCTCCCCCAAACTAGCCTGCCACTATCCGCTAGAAGCCCAGCAGCAGCAGTGAGACTACAAGGGGCAAAGAGAATCCAGGAACTGTGTCTCTCAGAAGGCACCCTCTTTCCACACTCATTTATACTATGGCTTAATGCCATGCTCCTGGAGCCTCAGCAAAATCACAAATTACAGTGCATGCCCTTCCAGGCTTCTCTCAAACAACTGAAATTGTCCCTGTCCGTATAAAGAAAACCAGAACAGGCCTTCCATTCACTGGTTCAGCAGATATCATTTTTCATTAGCCTCTGGAGGGGGCACAAAGTCCATATACGTCACAAGGTGGGGGAGGGGGGAAACATCACATAGTGCTCAAGAAATGTTTACTGAATGAAGGACTTGAAACAGCAGGAGCAGAGTTCAGCCATCTGGTCAACTACCAGGCTTCTTTCCATTTCCCTTGGCTGACACCCCTCCTCCCTACAGGTCATTTTCTGCACAACAGGCAAATAAATGCTTTTAAACGTCACCTCCTCAAAGAAGCCTCCCCTGATCACCTGCACAGGTAGATTGCCCACTGTTCTCTTTTACTTAGTCCTTATTGTTTCTACTTGTAGCATCGATCGCTTTTTGTAATTGCACGGGTATCAATTTGTTTACCTGTATATCCTCTGTTCTCTTACCCCATTATAAAGTCCAGAGGGCACAACAAACTCTGTTTTTATCAGTATACTCCTAGAGCACAGGAAGGGTTCAACAACTGCTTATTATGAATAAATGCATAATGTGGTCTGGGAATACTGGGTCATGTGGATTTATTAGGACACAGGGGTTGTGAAGCTCCAGGATATTAGGGGAATTTAAACTCTCCTTACCCATTCTTACAGAGTTATGTCAAGAATCAAAACAAGTTCTGTAAAGAACTGCATGTATACAAAGGAGTTTCATCATACAGCTGGAAACCATTCGAGACGTTTGGTCAGGTTTGTGGGGTATACTTTGCTGAGTCAGTCTGGTGCTATCTAGAGGAAAATGTAGAAGAGGAATTTTGAGATATAGGAGACGACGTAGAAGACTCCTGTAATAAGCTTTTCGCGACAGGACATGACCTGATGTAGTGCTCATGAAAAGGATAGTATAATAATAATTGTCAGGATGGGTGCAGTGGTTCACACCTGTGATCCCAGCGCTTTAGGAGGCCAAGGCAGGCAGATCGCTTGAGGTCAGGAGTTCAAGACCAACCTGGCTAACATGGTGAAACCCTGCCTCTACTACAAATACAAAAATTAGCTAGGTGTGGTGACAGGTGCCTGTAATTCCAGCTACTCGGGAGGCTGAGGTAGGAGAATCCCTTGAACCCAGGAGGCAGAGATTGTAGTGAGCAGAGATAGCAGCACTGCACTCCAGCCTGGGTGACAAGAGTGAAACTCCCTCTCAAAAGTAATAATAAGGCTGGGCATGGTGGCTCACACCTGTAATCCCAGCACTTTGAGAGGCCGAGGCAGGTGGATCACTTGAGGTCAGGAGTTCGAGACCAGCCTGACCAACATAGAGAAACCCCATCTCTACTAAAAATAGAGCAGCCTGGGCAACAAGAGCAAAGGTAACTCTGTCTCAATAATAATAATAACAATAATTGTCAAACAGCAAGTAAGCAGGGTACTTGACGATCATGGATAATTATTTTATTGGGGAGCAGGATGATGGCAACGTTATGGTTAAGTTGAGGAGGATATTTTATAAATTTATAACCACCCAACAGGTTCAGAGCTTATTTATCAAGACAGAGCTTATTTATCAAGACAGGAAATCGCAATAGGCAAAGAGTAATTCACACAGAGCCGGCTGTACGAAGATGGGAATTTTATTATTACTCAAATCAGTCTCCCTGAGCATTCAGGGAGCAGAGTTTTGAGGGATAATTTGTTGGGTGAGGGGTGGGGTCAGTGATTCTGGAGTGCTGATTGAGTCAGAGATGAAATCATAGGGAGTTGAAGCTGTCCTCTTGAGCTGAGTCAGTTCCTGAATGGAGGCCACAAAATCGGATGAGCCAGTTCATCAATCTGGGTGGTGCCAGCTGATCCATCAGGTGCCAGATCTGCAAAATATATTGAGCACTGATCTTAGGTTTTACAATAGTATTGTTATACCCAGGAGCAATTTGGGGAGGGTCAGAATCTTGTAGCCTCCAGCTGTATGACTCCTAAACCATAATTTCTAATCTTTTGACTAATTTGTTAGTCCTTCAAAGACAGTCTAGTCCCCAGGTGAGAAGGTAGTTTTTTTTGGGAAAGGGCTGTGATCATCTTTGCTTCAAACTATAAGTGTGAAAAGTAAAAAGGTCCTCTTAAAAGTTCCCTTTTTTGTTGAAGAATAAATAATGTGATAGAAATAATAGTCTCTCAAAAAAAAAAAAAAAACTAACTTCCTTCAAGTTTCCTGGCTTTTTGCTAGTAACTCCTTGTTAAGCCCTATGCAGCTGCTAAATATAGTAAGGGAATAAGTACATTCTGTGTCCTTGTACTTTAACCAAGTTATTTGTTCTGACCTATAGCCTGCTCAGACATGTCCAAATATGCCCAGGCATCTCCTGGCTTAAAGCCTATACCTCTTCCTTATTTGGAAATGTTATTATTCTCCTAGTTTCCTGTAAACAGCCCCCTTCCTTTCTTTGTTCTTCATTGTGTATTTACCTATTTAGGAAAGTTTTAAGTTCTTAGTCAATCGGGATCAGTCTAGATAGTGCAGTCCAGCTCCAGCCAATGGAGATAAGACATAGCAGTAAGGACCCAATGCATCAGGGATAAAAACTGCTTTTCTTTATCTCATGTGCTTTCATGGCAATCAGACTTCCAAAAAGCACCTTTTCTGCAGAAAGTAAAATCGCCTTACTGAGAAAAGTTCTTTGAGCCCTGGTTCTTCTTTTCGGCACCAAGGAACAAGCATTTGTTTCTAACATAAGTTATTCCTGAAGTTAGTTCAGCCTACCCCCAGGAATGAACAAAGACACCTTAGAGATTAGAAGCAAGATGGAGTTGGTTAGGTCAGATCCTTTTTTTCTTTTTTTGGGGGGGGACAGTTTTGCTCTTGTCACCCAGGCTGGAGTGCAATGGTGTGATCTTGGCTCACTGCAACCTCCCACTCCTGGGTTCAAGCGATTCTCCTGCCTCAGCCACCCGAGTAGCTGAGATTACAGGCACCCACCACCATGCCCAGCGAATTTTTGTGTATTTAGTAGAGATAGGGTTTCACCATGTTGACCAGGCTGGTCTTGAACTCCTGACCTCAGGTGGTCCACCTGCCTCAGCCTCCCAAAGTGCTGGGATTACAGGCATGAGCCACTGTACCCGGCCTAGGTCAGGTCTCTTTAACTTGGCCTAGGTCAGTTATACTTTTGCAATGGTGATTTCAGGATTCTGAAGAAAAAGTATGAGTATTTGTCTTAATAGATACCCCACCTACACAATGATATCAAAATTTTAGATCTTTGCCAATTTAGTAGGTGAATTTATCATATCCTGTGATAATCTGGATTTGCATTTATCTTAATATAGGAGAAGTGGATCTCTTTTTATATATTTAAAAGTAATTTCTTCCTAAAGAATCCACTAAAAAACTCTTAGAACTTTACACAAAAGCAATACTATTACATCAAAAAAAGGAAAAAAAAAAACCTCTTAGAACTAATAAATGAGTTCAGCAAGATTTTAGGACATGTGATCAATATACAAAAATCAGTTATATTTCTATACAGTAGCAATGAACAAACTGAAAATAAAATTAAGAAAATAATTCTACTTATAATAGATTCCAAAAGAACAAAATAATCTTGAAGGGAATTAAATGCCAGTGCAAGTTAAAAAGCATCCTATGTTCATGAATTGGAAGACAAATTCGTAGAGATAAATTATACTGATGCCTAGGACTGGGGGGAATGGGGAATTGAGGGGTGATGGCTAAGGAGTACATGGTTTCTGAAACTGTCTTTGCAAAATTATTTAAAAGGTTACCAGACATTATTCCAGAGGTCACAAGATTAGCAACTTCCCCAATTTTTCCTGTAGATAACATCACTACTGTAGAGCCTAAAATTGGCCTTTTGAGATGTCTTTCCAGGCTTTGCATTTTTGACTACTAGATGGCCCCACCCAGGCCCATGACTCAACCAGTCCTGGGCACCCACTGAGAAGCAGACTCAGACATAAGGATCATTTTCCGCACCCCTATGATTGAATCCTCAACCAACCATCAGCACCTATACCCTAATTCCCTGCCCATTGAACTATTTTTAACACACCCCAAACCTTCAAGCCTTTGGTAACATTGATTTGAGTAATAACTCTGTCTCTCATGTGGTGTGACCGGCCTCATATCAATTGAAATCTTTCTTTACTGTAATGTCATGGTCTCAGTGAATTATTATAATTTTGTCTTTGCAATTGAAACCACCTTTGTAAAATTATGACTGAGACGGTGAAAGAGATCTAACTTAACCAGCTCCATCTTGCTTCTAATCACCAAGGTGTCCTTGTTCATTCCTGGGGGTACACTGAACTAAACTTCGGGAGAAACTTAGTTTATAGTTTAAAACAAAGACCCCCCCCCCTCCAAAAAAAAGACCCTAATAGCTCTTTTCCCACAGGAGACCTCCTTCTTGCCTAATAACTAGACTGCCTTTGTAGGACCAACATTAGCCACAAAATTAGAAATTATGGTTTAGAAGTCATGCATCTGGAGGCTACACGATTCTGACCCTTCTTAAGCTGCTCCTGAGATCAGTGCTTGAGATATTTTGCAGACCCTGCACTTGATGGATCAGCTAGTACCACCCAGATCAATAAACTGGCTCATCTGATCTTGTGGCCCCCACCCAGGAGCTGACTCAGCATAAGCAGACAGCTTCAATTCCCTATGATTTCATCCCTGACCAATCAGCACTCCCGGCTCACTGGCTTTCCCCCATCTACCAAGTTGTCCTTAAAAACTCTGCTCCCTGAAT